TTTTCTTTGTCACTAGAAAGGTACAAGTTACTTTATAATTAACTTAGATGTATAATTGTTTGGAAATAATAACCCACTGTTAAATAATTTGCTGCGTTCTTTTCATAACGCCACACGATAATTATTTGTTAAATTTTAACTAAAATTAGAATTAAAATTATGCGGTTTCGTGTAAATTCAATGCAAATAGCAAATGGATTGTTAATATCTTTTCATAATCAGGATATTCTATTAGAATGTTTTCAAATAAACCGTTATATCATCATTTACTTTATACTTATACTGTGAATTTTATGGTAATTAATAGTCTAAGAAAAGGAAAGGGGGTTACGAAAAAAAAAATTCCAAATCATACTTAAGAATAATGGTATGCTATTATTCTTCTAGAATTATATCGTCGGTTTAAAATTGTGTGCTTGTTGTTACTTTATTTAACGTAAAAAAGGGGTTGCGTCATTTTCATGAACTTACAGTGTTTATTTATCGACATATAAAGTCGAAATTCGCAAAGACGTATTTTAAAGTTAATCTATATCAAAAATACTCTTAGTGAGTATTTTGCAGGAAATTGACGATATGTTATAATATTTCATAAATTGTTAAATTCGGCGTCGAAGGAATTTCATGTAGTTACTTATAGGCTAATTAAGTATCATTGTTAGTTTTTTTTTTTAAGAAACCAATTTGGACGATTTGTTAAAGTTGAAAGAACTGCTGGTTGAGTTGGTGTACTCTGATATGTAAACACTGTAACCTTGAGAAGAGGCTTATACAATGGTTATGGCTGGTTAGGTCCTCGTCATCGCCAGTTGGCCGACACACCGGGCTACGTGACTTCAACAATGCTGTTATGATCCATACTTATTTCAGAAATGAAAAAGACAAAAAAAAAAACCTGTTTGGGAGTGTTTTTCGGAAAATGTACCGACAAGGCAGGGTCTGTTCCATCTGTATATGGCAAATTATCATAAAACAAATGCTTCTAGAACTCAAACCCGGTAGCAGTAACAGTACTTTTAACGATCATGAAAAAGGAAAAAAAAAAAAAAAAAAAAAAAAAAAAAAAAAAAAAAAAAAAAAAAAAACCTGTTTGGGAGTGTTTTTCGGAACATGTACCGACAAGGTAGGGTCTGTTCCATCTGTATATGGCTAATTATCATTAAAAACATGCTTCTAGAACTCAAACCCGGTAGCAGTAATAGTACCTTTAACGATCCCACACAAGTTTCTACAATTGTATTACTAATACAATAATTATGATCATTGAGGATAATTGTTGACTGTTATAAGATATTATTGAAGAGGAGTTGTTTAGGGATTGGCGTCTTTGGTAAACACAAAAATAAATTATTTCTATTTTGTTGTGCCGACGTTTAGGCCTTCCATAAGGCTTAGCAAAAACTAGATAACAAATAAATACTGAGAAAATATTAATTTGCATTAACAGTAATCGCTACTGTTAATGCAAAAGGTGAGCGTAAAAATTATTTGTTCAGGATTTATTAGTATAATTTCATACTTTATTTCTCTCTGGTATTGTCCATTGTAATATACTACTTATAACAGTTGCAGACGGAAAATAAATTTTTATGCTCTCCTATAAAACACTCAATTTTTACATATGAGACCTTCTGCACTAATAGTAGCGTAATTATGATATATTTAATATGTAAGAACAATTGTATAGTAAGGTGTGATATGTTCTTACTTTAACCTAATAAATATGTGCAGTGGAAAATATATGATACTTCTCTTGAGATATTAACTTCTCTTCAACTATAACAATAATACCTTTTTCTTTTTTTTTTTTTTTTAATTTTAATTTTTTATTGAGAAGTATTACAATCTGTCTCAGTTAAGGACACATATAATATACTTCGGAGTGCACATTCATACCGTATATACCGAAATATAAATAAGTAATAACAAAAGAATATATTGGAATTAGAACAAAATGAAGTATTACAAGGACAGTAAAAAGAATATATATATATATATATATATATATATACACATAAGTAAGTAAAAATAAAATGAAAGTAAAGTAAAATAACCATCTTAGACACGAGTCATTGTTAGAACTCAATATATAATGATCCCAGAGTAAAAATAAACAAATCCTTTCCAAATAAATCTAGGCTAGGATAATGTATTTAAAATCCAAAGGATGTGTTAAATTGAATAACAGGTTATTCATGAATTATTATTATTACCGATTCTATTAAAGTCATTGTTAGAACTCAATATATAATGATCCCAGAGTAAAAATAAACAAATCCTTTCCAAACAAATCTAGGCTTGGATAATGTATTTAAAATCCAAAGGATATGTTAAATTGAATAACAGGTTTTTCATGAATTATTATTATTACCGATTCTATTAAATCTTATGTTTTGGTTGCTTAGATGCTTTCTCCTCAACTTCATCCATAGATCTGCAGAAACTCAAAATTTAGTTATTTCTCAAGTAAAGTGGTTGTGGCAAGCATACCAAGTAGCACATAAGAGTCTATGTTCCAAAGCATTTGTATCAATAAAACAAGAAGGTAACAATAAAAAGAGATTAGTTAACCTATCTTCCTATGGCTGGACGTGAAGAGAGGAAATAAAATTTACAGATAACCTGGGAATTGTAAATGATAATAACACGCAAAAGCAATCAAAATACTATGTTTTTTGAATAAGCAGAATGTGGTGCCTTCCTCTTTTGTCACCACTGAACCAGGCGAAGCAGGAATGGCAGAGAACACCTGGCATGTTATATCCCGCCATCTGCTAACCATTTTGTTGGGCCCTTCGCTGCCAAGACTGACTTGGAAAACACCCTCGCTCTTCACGATGTTACAGTAATTCAAGACATTTACAGGGCAAGGCTTGTATTTACCAAAGACATAAATGAAATCTGTTGAATCAATGAGATGTTCTATATATTTTCTTCCTGAATTAGTGAACAAGCAAGTCTTTTCTTATTGATACCAAGTGTTGGTTTCAGAATGGATGATACCTTAATGAGACAGATGGTGTGGGTTAATACATAGCAGTTTAATTTTATATTAAATTTAAATCCATCCTGTCTTTTCACCAAGGCAACACCCAATATCTGTCCAATTGTTGGTGTTTTTGTACAGGCTCGTATTAGTAGGCTCACATTGTACAAATAACTAAACACGACAACAAAACCTCTTTGTAAACTTCTTAGATCATTTACGAAATTAGCACTACTTTACAGTATCCCAGACGGCGTTGAATCGAGTGTGCTATTGGCAGCTATATCTAACACACATTTCTTAAATAAGTTCTTGACTTTAACAGATTTACGAAGTTTACAACACTTAGCACTGGTTGCAAGAACATCTGTTGTATGTTATATCAGGTTGTATTTACTCATTTCCGTATTATATTTCTTTTTGCTCACTGACCGATATACAATGCGAATTTTCATACTAGCTAAATAAGGGAAACATCTGTAAGCGTGACTATATTGAGTGAAAAGTAAGTATTTTAAAAATAATATTGGAGTGAAAAAAAAAACACGTGAAAACATAAAAATATTCACCGTACGGACAAATTAAATGTCGCTTTGCCTATTATCTTTAAGTTATTATCTTAAATGTTATTTTAATGTTTAATAACCTCATCAACCAGTACAATTACGGTTAACTACTATATGTATTGGCGTTTCATTTAATTAGGTTTGTGCAGCTATTTGCTGCAGTATATTCCCTTGATAATATTTAACTGAAACGATGCAAGAAATTATAAATATTAATTTTTGTATTTTTCTTATCGAATAAGGAACTCATATCCTTTTCAGTCGTAAAAAAATGAATTCAATTTTAATTCAAATTTAAGAATTTTTATTTTTTTTAAATTGACTAGTTCAACGATTTTATTTTTCAAAACTTTAGATAATATATTTTTAACAATTTATTTTCCATGTATTTAAATTTAACAATTTAATTTAAAACAATTCATGTAGTATGAGGTAATTTTATTTCATCGCCTTAGTATGTAAAATAACAGGGACAATTGTTTGAGTTCGAAGCAATGAATCCTTTTGCTCCCTTTTAAGTCTCACATTAACTAGCCGGAAATTAACAATTAAACCTATTGTTTAAATGGATCTTTACTACTGAAATGACGACTCAATGTCAAAATATTTCTTTTACGATGGTATTTTTTTTTATGTCTGTTGTACTTCCCTTTATAAACTTGTCAACATAAAAAAAAACAAAAAAAAAAACAAGAAATCAAGTTTTTTTTGTTTGAACTTAATCCTTTCTTGACTCATTAGTTTTGATTATTTTGTTTTTCGATGTATAAAAGTTCCTTAAATAATTATTAATTTTTATTAAAGCATTGCTATTAGAACTAATTTCGTTTTATTTATTCTTTTTTTTTAAACTTGTTTTAGTTTTATTAATTTGGATTATCTCAGCCACCCTTTGAATTCACAAAAATAAAGTCAAAGCGATAGTGTTTTTATTTTGGTTTTATTCTTCAAATTTGGATGTTGAGAGGGAGGGAGGATGATAACAAAGTTTACAGCTTTTATTAAGATAGTAGGTAGAAAAATTAAAAAATTAAATATCAAAGGTTTGTTCTGACGCGCTCTTAATTGATCTATTTCCATAAATATTTATATAAATTTTTTTGTTAAACAAATGTGACTTTGCATATTTTTAAAAATAATTTATAATAGAAAAAGAAGATTTTTATTAAAACATCATAATTTACTAGTTTGGAATTTAAGCTAACATCTCATCCCTAGGTAGTCAGATCCTGGGCTATGATCTCATCGTAGTCGAAGTCCTTCAACCGTTTCTTGACCTCAGAAAGGTGTTCCACTAGATAACAATTATAGCTCACTTCTATCCAAACTATTCCCTTACTAAAATCATATCTTTCAAATTATATATATCGAAGTCTACTTATAGAGGTTTACTGGTGGTAATTAGATATCATGGTAAAATTTATTATACATTATATATACGGAGATAAACAATTGTTTTTAGATTTTTGATAGCCCACGGTGGATTTTTTGTGTAAAGTTTAATTATACATAAAATAATAATAAAACCTATGCATATTTTAAAGCATATATGGGTATTTTACTTTACATGCATAAGTTAGAATGTAAGCTGCTAGCCTTATTTGATTTTTTAATTTTATAATTAGATAGACTAATCCTCAAATTAATTTTCAGATCGCACCATCGGCCAAAAAGCTGTGGGGGGTAGAAGAACCTAAAGACGAACCAAAAAGCATCCTGAATTTAAACGAACATCAAATGTGGAGGGATTCGACTTGGAGTACTTCAGGTAACCCGTTTAAGTCAATCATAAACATACTTTTAAGTTATTTATACAGAGAATCCTTGGCAGTTTGTGGAGTTGCGTTTATATACTGTTATTATTCATGATTTCTTGGTTGTGGAATTAATTTTCATATTTTCTTGTCAAGGTTTTTCTGTATTTTATTTTATACAAATTAGTTGTTTTTAAAATTACAAAAATTATTTTAAGAAGAAAATTCATCTTTATCGGAATCCCTGAATGTAATATTGATAATTAATATAAATGCATTGTAGCATGATGATGATGGGTATATCGAATTAAAGGGAAAGTAGACTAATTCATATAAATAAAAACTATCGAACTCAGCGTAATAATATTAACTATTAAACCCATTAAAATTTTACTTTCGTTTACATAATTATGAAATATATAGTAAGGGACAGTATTGTAGTCGTAAATAATTAATTGGCTTGGTTTAAATTCCGGAATTTCTTATTTTGTAGTATCTAATTTTTATTTTTTTTAGTTTAAAATAACTGTTTCATGTTATAACTATTGAAAAAAATATTCAAGTGGAAACTATGAATACATTTTAACCCAAAATTCTTGTCGGACTAACAAAAAAATTTGTGGCATCCCTATAATTTAATAAGTAATTAAAATATAAAATATTAAAAGAGAATGGATTTTGATGAAAACGTCAATAATTTAAATTTTCACTTACATATATATCATCGGTTTATTGATTTATTAACGGTTATTAATGGGCCAGCAATATCTCTAATGTGCAAATTGGGTAACTGTTCAACTGGAACAATACTCTTATTTTTTAGTTAAATCAAATACTTTTTTTAAATTTTTGTTTATAAACTTATTTTAGTAACAGCTTCCTTCAGCTTTCCATACTATGGCTAGTGATAATAAGGCATTTAAATTAATATTTAATGCATTTGAGATATGTTGGAAGAGATAGAATCGGCCTATATCTAGTTATCAGATATAGGATATATTGACAGCTTACCGTAAATATATTCACGCCGCTTTTTTCATTTGTTGCAATTAAACAAAGGCAATCGATCAATTAATCTATAGATATTACACGTGGGGTTGCTTATGATAAATTTCTTATTTCAAATTCTCTTCACTCAGAAATTCGGTTTTATTTTGTTTCCCGAACCGATTAAGTCTCAGAATCCTGAGTTGAAATCCCAGGTTTTTATCTGATATATTTTTTTTCAAATAGAATGTTCTTCAAGAATTTAAATTAAAAACTTTCTATCTTATTTTGCATCCTGAATCTACATATTATGATATTATTTCAGTATTTTTCCAATTATTTATTTATTTAAACGAGTTCTAACAAATTTTTAAAATTATCATTCCATAATATCAGTTTTATATGATGTTTACTTTTTAAGGGTGGTTGCAGTGTATTAATGAAATAATTATTTATTTAATATAAATAATTGGGATTCCTGTAGCTTTCATAGGTTTTGATCTTTTGATGAGGAACGTTAGAAATCTTATCAGTTATATTTTTTATTGTCGTCCCATATTGTATTTATCTACAATAATGCATTTTTAAAAACTACATTCAGAAATATTTTGTTATTGGTATCTTACTTAACCACATTTCATTACTAGACTGACTGGATAGGTTTGTTATAAAATGTATTTCATGGCTGTTCTGTATTCACAGAGACGACTATTTAGCCTTGTGTTTCTCACATTACACTATCATGCCTTTGTCGGTAGTAAATTGTGGCGAAAGAAGAAAATGTAACAGAATGTTGGCAGGAGCCAATGAATTCTCAAGTTACATTTCAGTGTTTTGCTAATGATAGCACAGGCGTAAGCAGATGTCTTACAGTCTTCTGTGTCAGCATACTAAGAATTTAGAGATAGATATGTCGGTCTCGTGTTGGATTTATTATTCTTCTATTAAATTCATTTTTATATTTAAAAATTAAAAGTTTCCATAATAGATCTTATTGTCTAGTTTTTTTGTTGAAAGATTGCGTGTTTTTTTTTTAATGTGTTAGTGTTAGGGAGGAAGGTTATTAAATTTTACTTTATATCATTGTTAATAGTTATCATTACTTTATATATATATATATATATATATATTATATATATATATATATATACATGACTTTATTACACACTTATAGGTCCTTAACCAGTCCAGCAGCCATTTATTTTTGTCATAGCAGCCATCCTTCCGAAGTCCTCTTGTTGTTTCCTCACGGATACCTTCCATCCATCTCTTTTGTCGTCGACCTCTTCCTCCTTTTCGATGGTATAAGTGTCCTTTTAGGCGTTCGATCGTCCGTCATTTTCTTAACGTGCTCAAACCAACTCGGCTTTTTTGTTTCAATGGTGTACAGGACGTTAAAGACTCTTTTTACTTTTACCCAAAGTGTGTCATTTGGAATGTGTTGTAGTCTCGATGTTCTACTACCACATCTCGAAAAATTTGATTCCCATAGACAGTTTTCTTGTCAAGTCATTTGCAATAGACCAGGTTTCTAAGGCGTAATGTACAGTGGCTTAACAACAAATGATTCGAAAATATTCTTTTTCGTTTGGAGTATAATTTCTTAATTCCATAGAACAGAATTTAAAGTCCGTATGGCATTTGTACCTGTAAATTACTTTTAATAATTTTCAAAAATATCGCATCCATGCCATTAATTAATGAAAATTTTGTTCCTTGTAAAAAGCTGCAAATTTTCAGCAATATAATTAAAATAAATTTTTTTTAAAATTATTAACTTGCTTTGCGTATGGAAAATGTGATGGGTTTCATTTTTGTACTGCCTATTAGATTTTAAAATTATTTTTATTATTACCAGTTATTGTTGCACCGCGAACTGAATATACCCAATTTACTTGAAAGCAGAGGAACTTTCACTTACTTTGTTTAGTGCTTCCATTTTTATCGAGTCCACATTGAATTATTCTTTTGCGAGCGAGATTTAACATTGCGTTTTGTTTGTAATTGCGATTAATAAACATTAAGCAAGACTGACTTGTCTGTTAGAAACAGATCAGGTTTGTTTTCGTGGCTATTTACGTGCCCTCCAATATACAGTTGTGTACTACTTAATGGGTAACATAACAGAGGATAGAGAGTAAAAAGATTAAAAGTTGCACCATAATTAATTGAAAAGATAGCTTGTATCTTATCACTAGGTATCAATGCAATCAATTTATAATTTTTGAAGAATCCCTGACCTAAAAATATGTTCTGTCGTCGTATGTCGTAGTAATGTTATCGTAAAATACTTAACATTGTTTTGTATTTTTAGTTAAGAAAATGAATTACTACTATTTCTGAAGTCAAGTAAACTAAATCTACCTAGTAATACCATATATACTTGTTCACTCTTCTGCAAAGTTTAACACAATTAGACACATTGATACTTACGGATAATCTCTTCGACTGTAAAGTGTTTTTATTTAGAACAATAAATAAATTAAATAATTTTGCGTAATGAGATTTTTAAATCTATGAAACTATTTCGGCTTTCACTTTAAGACTTCAGTGGGAATCTTGGGCCGAGGAAAGAAAAAAAAAAATCTATTTCGGCAACTGAATAGTTGAACCGCAATCGTTTTTAAAATCTGAAGGAAAAGGAAGGAGGGACTAGTTTAGAACAATATCAGTAATAAATCTTAATTCATATAAACATATGCAAAACTCTATAATTAACATATTAAAAAAATAAACATCTATACTTCCTCGATTTCCAAAAATAATAGATTTTTCACTTTGAAAATAAGCTTATTTATTCGCCTAGTCGAAATAACACGTTAGTACCGGTACATAATTTTTCTTCTACAGTGGATAAATGTAGAAAAAAATTAATCAAATGGTAATGGATCGACCATGAAGTTAAGCGAATCCGCTACTTGTTACAAACCACATTTTATTTACATCTACGGGATTCGCAACCAATCCCGTCCCACTAGATCTCGTACTTCCGACCTCTATCCTCCTCCTCACCGAACTGCTTTTAGTCGACTCTTATTGTAAATATATGATCTAAGGGACAACAGTCCCAGAATAATAAAAACAAAATTTCATTTTCATTTATTAATTGCTTTAAAGTTTTCTTAAAATGGATTAATAATAATTACGATTCAAGTAACCTAATAGAGGTATTCAAGCAAGCAATACTCTTAAATGTGTAAAGTCGAGAACATTATTTACGAAATGTTTTAAATATGGCCGCAATCACTCTCGATTTTAACGCAGCGTAAGGTTCTGTAAAGTGTTGCTAACTTCGTAAACGCAGAAGGTTATTGTTAGGTTTTGATGTGTTTGATTCTTTGTGTACAATACAATATCCACAGAAATAGAGTGTAAAGGCTAAGATTTCATCTATGTATTCTTTGCCTTCTGAATCATATAAATCTTTATTCATGCTTTCTAATAAAGCATTTTGAAAATAAATCAAATAGTTTGTAGATCAATTAAGAACTCGTAGAATTTGTTTACAGTACAGGCATAACCTTAGTATAACTAATAACACTTTAGGACGTTAGCACAGGCAGGTTATTTACAATTGATTCAAAATTTGTGCTGAATGCTTAGAATGATAGCACATTAAGCATTTACAACAAGTGCTTGAATACCCCTAATATATATTGAATCGTCAAATTTGTTTTGGAGTGTTAACACTTAAACGGAGAGGTAGGATAATGGGGAGACGGGTGGGGTGGCGTTGCCATGACGACAGGCGTCTTGGCGCCGGCCTTGGTGGGGGGAGGGGGCGCTCCCTGCCCGGCTCATCCAATCCTCGTCTCTCCTCTCTGGAAATATAGGTCCCACAAGAGGAAATCACCTCTATAATCAATACCTATAAAGTAGTATACTATAGCGAGAACTTAGCATAACATAGATAGTTCTAAGCACCTTTATTATTATGAACAGTATTATAATCAAGCTAGTTTCTACAATATGTATAACTATTTGGCCCGTTCGAATAATTCGAAGAAAATTTAGTTTAACGAAGGAA